GAGGTTAAATTCCAAAATGCTAAAGAATGTGACTCCGGTGAAAAGTATTGACTTGAATGTTGCTAATGGATCAAAATTAAATGGCAAGGGTATGGGTGATGTTAAGAACATAGAGTTGTCGTTGAATAATAAATTGTATGTGCATGCTCTCGTGCCTAACTTGATTTTTGTTGATAAACTTACTGAGCAAGGTTATACTATGTCATTTTTTCCGTCTGGATGTCTTATACAGGATTCGAAGACAATGAGTCTGATCGGAAGGGGGAGTAAGCAAGTTCGACTTTTTCATCTAGAAGAACTACATAGGCAATTCAGTGTCTCCGGTCATTAGTGGATCCTTACATAGTTCTGTCAGTAGTCCTTCGCCATTTCAGCAGTCTAGTTCTTGTTTATCTGTTTCGAGTCTTTCCAATAATCAGTGGAAATTTTGGCATGCCCATCTGAGGTATCCCTACTCAGCTCATTTTTCTGCTATGTTTAAAAAGTCATTGTTGGTCAAAACTTATGTACGAGTTCTAAAGTGTCATTCCTGCACTAGTTGTGTTGAAGCAAAAACTGCTAGTATTTCTTATCCTGTCAGTACGATTGTTATTCAAGACCCATTTCATGTGATACATACTGATATTTGGGGACCAACATGGCAGCACCCGTTGTTTCTCATCATGGTTTTCGTTATTTTGCACTTTTTATTGACCATGCCACTCGATACACCCAGATTTATCGTCTTCGTTTAAAATATGATCTTCGTTCTATGGTTGTTGAATTTCTGAACATGATTCAAACTCAATTTGAGAAAACAGTCAAAATCATTCACTCCGATCTAGGTGGAGAATTTAGTACTTCTCCTCTGTGTGAGGTTTATCGCTCTAGTGGCATTTTGTGTAAAAAATCGTATCTTGTAGTCTCCCAACAAAATGGTATTGTAGAGGGCTAAAATCGTCATGTTGTTGAGTTAACGCGAGCCTTGCTGTTAGCATCCTTTGTTCCCGGTCGTTTTTGGCTAGAGGTTGTTGTTACTGCAGTGCGGTTGATCAATTATCAGATCACTCTCGTTCTTGGTTATGAGAGTCCATTTTTCAAACTATATTTCCGTCCTCCCGACTACTCTCGTTTGTGTGTATTTGGTTGTCTGTGTTTTGTCTTACTTCCTAGACGAGAACGTGGTAAATTAACTTCCAAAACAACCAAGTGTGCTTTCATGGGCTATAGTGATATTCATAAAGATATATGTTTTATGATCCTGTCACTCAACGAGTTCGAGTAGCTAGCACAATAGTCCTTTTTGAACACCTCCGATTGTTTTAGTCAATTTCTCCTTCTGAGTCAGTCTTTCCTTTGTCTAGTTCCTTGCCCATGTTCCTCGCAGAAGAGGAACCTACTGTTGTCCTGGACAATTTTATTCCCCTCATAATACGGACTCCCTAGGTGCATCTCCTTCTTCGTCTTCATCACATGCATATTCCTCCACCAGTCCTCTTGGTTCGTCCCCTGCTAGTTCTCCGAGTTCCTCTTCCCCTGGAACGTCGTCGTTGCCACCCATTCCACCTCGTCGCTCTCTGCGTTCGACAAAGGGCATTCCGCCAGCTCGCTTCGACAATTTTGTTGCACATGGTGTGCAAACTCTTGTGGTGCCTACTCGGTATAAAGATGCTAAGGGTGATCCGGTGTGGGAGGAGGTGATGGGGAGTTAATTTGATACTCTCTATGCGAACAATACTTGGACTGTTGTTGACTGTCCTGCTCCTGATACTCCTACGATCGACAGTCGTTGGGTTTATACGATCAAGATGTATCATGATGGCACCATTGAACAACATAAGGCGAGAGTTGTCACATTGAGTTATACACAGGACAGGAGCATGGGGTGGATTATAATGAGACGTTTGCTCCTGTGGCACGTATGTCTACAGTGCGGACTCTCGTGGTTGTTGCTTCTATGAAAAACTAGTATCTCGCTCAACTTGATGTGAAGAACGCTTATCTTCATGGCGATCCTGGTTATCATGTTGGGACTCCTGGACAAGTATGCAGACTCAACCGATCACTATACGGGTTGAAACAACCACCTTGTGCCTGGTTCGATAAATTTGAGTCGACTCTTGTGGGGCTTGGTTATAGTCAAAGTTTGAATGATCCATCTCTCTTCATTAAGACCTCATCCCGTGGCATTGTTCTCCTTCTACTATATGTGGATGATATGATCATCACAGGTTCTGATCTAGTCAGTATTCGTTAGTTGAAAGATGGATTGCATCCTGCTTTTCGGATCAAGGATTTGGGGGAGTTGTCTTACTTCCTCAGGCTGGAGCCTGGAAGTTTCTCGTACTAAGGATGGGATATTCCTCACTCATAGGAAGTACATTGTTGATCTGTTATGTGACTACACCATGGAATACTGTAAACCTGTAAACACACTGATGGAGCTAAATCTCAGGCTAAGTCGGGATTCAGGGGAGAAGGTGAAAAATGGATCGTAGTATCATAATATAGTCAGCAGTTTGATTTATTTGTCTGCTACGAGGCCAGACATTTCATATTGATGACTCGATATTTGCACATGTTTTCCCCTTTGTTTCTTGATCGTTTAAGCTTGCATTATCGGTTCTTTGGCCTATTTTACGCTAGGTTGTGTTCCTTTGTTACATTTCAGGTCCTAGCACATAAAGTGAAGCATATGCGCAAGTTTCAAGTCAATCAGAGATCAATTGGCGATTTGGGAGAAGAAACTCGGACATGACCTGAAGAAGAATGGATTTCTACCTCAATTCATCGACAAATAATCATGCAAGCTTGTCATGAAAAGAAAGAGGACGAGACTACGAGCGTCTGGGATCAAACGGCGACTGATTCGGAGTCCAGACGAGGGAGTAACGAAGCATTGAATATAGGGGAACAGGTTCGGCAATAAAACCACGGGCGCGCCTAAATCAAAACACGGCTGTGCCCATATTTAGGCACGACCGTGTTTTAGACGACGCGCGCGGGCGTGTTTTTAACACGGGGAAAAACACGGGCGGGCAAAAGCAAATCACGGCCGTGTCCTAGATGGTGTTTTGCCCAGAATTGGGTTTTTTAGGCAGATTGAAGCCAAAGGAAAGAGAGAGCTGGGTTTTGGTTCCCAAACACCCAAGGGACGAACCCTAGAGAGAGAGCGACTTGGGAACATTCTTGGAGCTATTTTGGAGGATTTCTTCGCCATTGGAGCTCGGGAATCAACCTTGGAGTTGGAGATTGAAGATCTAGATCAGATTACTGCAGTCTCTCTCTTCTCTATGGAGTAACTTCCCTTCATTTAGGTTTTGAGGAACCCTAGCTATGCTTGTTTGATTGGATGATTGTATGAGTACTCTTACTTGATAATCTTGAGTTCATATTCAATCTATGCATGTTTTCATGATTCAATTCTGCTTTAGTCGAGATTATTAATTCTGCTTTGATCCTATGAGAGCGAATACCTGATTAGGTCAATAGAGCACCATAGATTGATAGTAGTGGATCGATTGCTTTAGTCGAGGGTTGATTGACTGCTTTGTATCGATTGAGAAACTCATTCGATAGAGGGAATCTAGTCCAGAACGCCTTGATCGGTTGTTCTAGAGAAGGATACGTCCCTCTAGGCAATTGACTCAAGAGGGCCTTGTTTCTTTAGTCGAGACTCAAGGTCTAGTCAAGGATTCTCCGCAGTGTGAATGAAAGTGAAACAAGTTAGAAATCATCAATCGTTAATCTGGCTAGTGGCTAGGGGTAATCATACCTAAGTGAGTTCCCAACCTGTAATTAGATTAACTTTAACTGTAGTTTGCTAGAGTAGTTTTAGTTCTTCCATCTTAATCTGGTTTGCTAGATAATGAACTGAAGCTGAGTAATAGTAATTCTAGAGACCCGTGGATTCGATATTTATTACTTGGGCCACTATACTGCAGTCCCTTTCATTGGTTACACTTGGCCATTGTTAGGAGTTGTGTCATAGCGAGTCACATATGCGGTGCAGTTGGTTTCTCAATTCATGGCTGATCCGAGAGCTGATAATTTCACTATCGTGTATCAGATACTCAGGTACTTGTAGGGCACGAAAGAAGTTGGGATATTGTTTCCTTCTTCTGGGTCTTCAACTCTGCGAGCCTGCTTTGACTCAGACTATGCAGGATGTATTGATACGAGACGTTCTACTACGGGGTTGGTGTGTTCAATTCGGGAATTCTTTTATATCATGGCGATGCAAGAAACATGATAAGGTATCCAAATCTTCTACATAAGCTGAATACCGGGCGATGTCTGATGTCACTTTAGAAATGACATGGATGCGACGACTTCTTACTGATATGGGCATGGAATGTACTGGCCCTATGGATTTGTACATGGACAACACCAGCGCGATTCAGATTGTAGAGAACCCAGTCTTCCACGATTCCACGAAGCACATTGAGATTCATGTGCATTATATTAATGATGAAGTTCGAGATGGTGCTATCGCTCTACACTACATACGTATCGAAGATCAGGTCGCAGACTTTCTTACAAAGACATTTTCAATTGGTCGCAATTGTTTTATGTCTGACAAATTGATGCTTGTTAACCGGCATCAATTTGGGGGAGGTTGTTGAATATGTAATCAGTTTATGTCTCTTGTATTTGTGTAAGTATGTAGTAGTAGTCGTGGCACAATAGTGAGAATGGACAAGGCCCATGCAACCTATGCAAGCCCACGTCGTGTATGGATGAAGGCGTGTGTGCTAGGGTTCAACCGATTTTGGTATTTGTAGAGGAGGTGTAGTTTGTAGCCGCAACAAAATCTATCAATAAGAACAGTAGTCGAAGAGTGTTCAACCACTTCCATGAATTAGTCATGGAATTCTAGGGATACCATATAAATCCATATCTGATTTCTGTTTCGGTTTTAAATTTGTTAACAATCATAACCTAGAGAAAACAAAGAAATGACATTCTTGGCCACTACTAGGCTAATAACCGATTGTTTTGCCGGCCGACAACAGAGCGTCCAAAGTCCAAACCCGGCCACCCGCCAGGCTATCCCATAAATCCCCAATCGAACTTCCCTTAACCGTCCAATTGCCACCACATACTCGCTTCCCAATTTAATACGTCTCGCTCGCGAGACCACTGCTTCTCTCTTCTATCTTTATTGCACACTCTCCACAGCCACAAAGTACAGCACTTCACTCCTACTGTTAGCTGGTAAGTCTCCCCGCGCCTTCTCTATTCTTCGCCTCCCATTTCCGGCCGCCAGGAGTTCTTATTTTCCGTCAAATTTCTGCAGATCCTCTCACTAATAACTGCATACCTACGCAGGCAGTGTGACGCTTCCCAAGTGCGGGAATAGGATTCGTGCCGGTACTGGTTCGCAGAAATCCTCCTGTGTCAGTAGGAAATTTGGGTTTCTGTTGAGGGTCATCAATTTCAATTCTTTCCCCTCTCACGATTTGATCCAATAACGATGGCCTCTTCGATTGTGAATGGAGCTGAAAACTTCGCTCTCCTTAGAGGGGTTGGCATAACCCCAAGAGGGTTAGGCGTATTGGGTTCAGATTTGCAGGGGAGGAATTTCCCTAAATTGAATTTAGTATCTGTCAATAGGATGTCTAGGTGTGCGACAATGGTGCCTAAGTGCAGCTTATCTGCCTCCAGACCAGCATCCCAGCCCAGGTTTATACAGCACAAGCAAGAGGCATTTTGGTTTTACAGATTCCTGTCTATTGTGTATGACCATGTGATAAACCCTGGCCACTGGACCGAGGACATGAGGGATGATGCCCTTGAGCCTGCTGATCTCAGTGACAGGAGAATGATTGTGGTGGATGTGGGTGGTGGTACTGGTTTCACCACTCTGGGGATTGTGAAGCACGTGGATGCCAAAAATGTCACCATTCTGGATCAGTCTCCGCATCAGCTGGCAAAGGCCAAGCAGAAGGAGCCTCTAAAGGAATGCAAGTTTGTGCTGGGTGATGCTGAAGACCTACCCTTTAAGACTGACTATGCGGATAGATATGTATCTGCTGGGAGGTAATGTCTTTTTTAGTTGAACTCAATCCACTATTATGATGGTTTTCTACTTCAGAATTTAGGCATGCTTTAGCAATAACAATCTTTAATGAGTTGCTGCTTTAAGACTTGATCTATATAGCGAATTACTTTGGAGGACTACATAGAGTAACTTAGAATTTGGTTGGCGCTTTCAGAAACACCTCTTACCAATGTAATGAGACAGAAACTGTGGTGCAGATTCGATGAAGAATCCAACTTCTTTATTACAGTGCCGTTTGACATTGAGTTAAATTCCCTAATTGTGTCTCTAACTAGTAACTACCTTTTGTGGAATTTTATCAGTATTGAGTACTGGCCTGACCCACAGCGTGGAATCAGAGAGGCATATAGGGTCTTGAAGCTGGGTGGAAAAGCATGTTTAATTGGTCCTGTTTATCCTACATTTTGGTTGTCTCGCTTCTTTGCGGACGCCTGGATGCTCTTCCCGAAGGAGGAAGAGTACATTGAGTGGTTTACGAAGGCTGGGTTTAAGGATGTTCAATTAAAGCGGATTGGCCCAAAGTGGTATCGTGGTGTTCGTCGACATGGACTTATCATGGGATGTTCTGTTACAGGTGTTAAACCTGCCTCTGGAGATTCTCCTTTGCAGGTAATCATTCGTCAACTTTTGTTTTGCCTTCTCTAACTGTGTCAAGCGGTGACTCCATTTGTAAAAGGATATGTGCAACTAACATAGGCTTTGTAAGGCTGCGTAGATGTTGTTTCTGTTACTACATATCAGCAAGAGCAAGGAGTTATCGTGAGAGGACATGGTCCTGGTTTCTTTGTAGTATTACTGATGTGATATTTAAAGTTGGTGGTGCGTAAAAGGTCATCATTTTCGGATGTTTCAAACTTCAGACTTGAAAATCTGTTAATCTCGAACAGTAGGTGTTGTAAACATGTAATTAAAAAAAATACAAATATGTAAATCTTGAACACACTGAGAAGATCTTTCTATTTTTTGTTTCTTCAGGTGGGAGCTTATTAGCTTAATATATATTGTTGCTTCCCGGATACTCTTTTTTATGCAATTTTCAAAGCTGATGGTGAACCTTTATCTACTCTACAGCATTCTCTTTCTACTCTACAGAATTCTCTTTTTATAATTAATCCTTTCAGTTACGGGATTGAGTTGCATACTTAAGGAAAATACCATGCTTCCATGAATCATTACTCTCATATACTGCATTGCACTTGAGTTGTTTCTGCTTGCTAGTTGTCTTCTTGAACAGTTGCTGCATGTGAAAATGGCTTCTGACTCGGTTTGGTTTGGGATTATGACAGCTTGGTCCGAAGGCTGAGGATGTGTCAAAGCCTGTAAAACCGTTTGTGTTCCTGATGCGCCTCATTTTGGGTGCCATGGCCGGAGCATATTATGTATTGGTACCCATCTACATGTGGATCAAAAATCTAATTGTGCCCAAAGGTATGCCCATCTAAGGAGAAGAAGAGTCTTTTAGGAGCTGTATCTCTGTATGAGGTCTTCTTTGCACACTTGTGAACCCTCCTTGGAGATCTAGTTTTGTGGTTTCAAAAGCTGTCAAAGTCGTTGCGACTTGTGGGATCACATGAGTGGCGATGTAGCCTATCTTTCTCCAAACCAAAGCCACATTAGCTATTTGATGTAAAATCAGGCTGATGAGTTCTTTTATTTCTCTTTATTTATCTGGAGTTGTTGAATACCAAGGTGATTTCTTCAATGTCGTAAGTTATAACAACCAACAATTTAAGCACAGATATTCTTGATGGTTCATAATAAGCAAACTACTTGAGAACTAATAATGATCGAGAATGCGAATGGATAATACAACTCATAATGAAAATGCATGACATCTTTCTCTCAAATGCCATGGCAGCTTTCTCTATTCCTCTCTTTTTCCTTTTTCTTTCCTGCTCCCCTTCTTCTGGTGGCCTCATTCCTTATGAGTTATGAAGAACCTTTTGCTTCTCCTGTATTTTATCCGTGGCTTTTTTTTCTTTTTCCTTTCTTAGTACACACGTTGCTATAAGAAATCCTCAAAATACAATAATTTTCTTAGAAATTCTCAAATTACACATATTTTGGGGCAAATCTCTTTAGACTAGAGTGATCTGTTACATATCGTTTGAGATCTCGACAATTTCCAGCAGTTCGCACACGGATCGCTTGAGACCTCAACGATTAGTATGTTAATATAGGGAGGAAAAAATTCAAAACGACATTAGCTTTATGCTCGATTATATGATCAATGTGCACCGTTTTTTTTATTATTATTTTGCACAACTTTCCCAGATCTTTGTTTCTGCAAACAATTGAATGAGGTTTCTACGACATTAGTCTCCAAATAAGGTCATTTGTTGCCTCAAATTAGCCATTATTTCATAACTTTTCGAGATCTTCGCATCCGCAAAAATCACGAGCCTTTCATTACCAGGGGCGGAGCCAGGATTTCGAAACCCGAGGGGGGGGCGAAAATAATTAAACAAAATGTATGTATCCAAGGAGAATCAAACCCGTGTGCTTTAAAACACAAGTCAAACTTGGCTACCATTAGACCACATGACTATTACACAATAGAATTTACGGACCAAGTTCTACTTATAAAATTTGTACTAAATATCCTTACGATCCTAGGGGCCGAAACCAATTCCGGGGGGGCCGGGGCCCACCCTAGCTTGAGTGTAGCTCTGCCCATGTGCACTACAGTGATTTTTTACGGAGCACGAAGTTATAAGAAATTTTCAGAATACAACAGTTTTTGAAAAGCTATCCAAAATGGAAAAAAAATGCAAGCAACACCAATCATCTTCCATTATGTCACTCTCAACAAAAGATACATATTGATTGGAATGATGATGAAGTGGATCCAGAAGACTTAAAAGATAATGAGGGAAACATATAGAAACTACATAACTGTAGAGGAAACATATGTCACTACTCAACAAAGGAAACATATTGCTTTCCTTCGATTGAGACGCCAGATCAAGTCAAGACCTCCTAGGCGCATCGATGCTAGCATCCAATAAGAAGGGTTCAAGCAATTGCTAGAAATGTTCATATCATCAAGGAGCCTCCTGAAACCGATAAAGGAAGTTCCAATGAAGTGCGTGAAGGTTTTGAAGAGATCAAGGCACAAGAAGGGCTTATGGAGCATAAAGATTTTGTGGACCATGTAGAAGAGGAAGATCATCTCAATGCTAACAAGGAAGAAGATTATTTTATTGTGGACCATGGAGAAAAGGATCAACATGAGTACAACGAAGAAAAAGATGAGTTAATAACTCAAGCTTTGGAAGAAGAAGCCAAGAGACCCCCTCAAGAAGATGCAAAGGAAAAAGAAAGCCACTCACAACTTGATGAAAGCATCATACAAGCCATGGAAACCATGATAGAGCATCTTCAAACTATCCAATACGAGAAGGAAATTGATCAACCTATCAAAGAGCCTCTAGAAGGAGATCATCTGGAGACCAACGTTATTTATGATGAAGATAATGATCTTACAACTTCTGAAGAAAGAGAGGTCGAGATACAACCCCTAGGAGTAGTAATGAAAGAAGAAGGAACAAACATTGAAGAACTTACACAAAACCAAACCGTTTTGGATTCGTGGGAAGATGTTGAAGGCTTTACACCACTCGAAGGCTTTGAGCACTTACTACGCCTTCTTCAATATGAATTCAGGAGTGCTTCATCTACCAAGAAATCCACCATTGGAAACATTTAGGAGGAAGAGTCCGAGTACGATAACCCCCCTGGAACCTCTTATTCAATGTTCAACAACAATCGTTGAACCGAGCATTGAAGAAGAGATCGTGGAGAAGTCAGACAAGGAAAATCAACATCAAATGTAGAATGAAGGAAACGGCCCCTAGAGGAGTACTCATCTCAACATATCCAACCAAAGGAGAAGCTTCAAGAGGAGCCACATATAAGAAACGTTGATGACCATACCAAAAGGGAGCTCAACTTAGGCAAAGATCAAGATGTCCCCACAATTCTAGAGATCGTGGAGGAGCTCTTCAAATAAGAGATATCATCTAGCTCAATGAAGGAAACTTCAAGCCACACCCATCAAGAGTTCAACTCGAGTTAGGAGTAGAAAACTTACGAAGACTTCCTCTTCGGTCTTGGGAAAGAAGTAACCTCTACATTACCCTCTATAACAAAGGAAAAAAGATAAAGGAGTAGACATCCCACCTACCCCAAACAATAGAGCTCTGTGCATAGAAGAACTAAGTTTTGGAGAGGATGAACCTGTTCAACATTCCTTTATATCACCTTCTCAAGGATTTACACAAACCTTGGAAAACAAAACCTTGAATAAGTAAGGGTTGAGCAAGAAGAGTTCACCATTTACAAGAGCACTCTTGGTGAAAAGATAGATGATGATATTCCTAAATTTGGAGACCATGAAGAAAATTTCAAAAACAAGATGGAGATACATCAAGGAGTCAAACCAGATCTCAATAGACTACTTGATGAGGATCCATTTGCAACATTTCTAGAGAGCCATGACAACGTAGCGTCATATCCAACACAAAGAGAGGAATACATAAGTCCCTCATTGTATCATTACCTCTACCACATGCCCGAGATTCAAAATTCAAAGTGTGGAGTAAAAGGTGCAAGGTGGAGACTAAGGTGGCTGCTACTTCATGATCCACTATCAAGCCAAAAGAATAAGAAGGATGGTACACTTGGAGCATGCAATCAAAACCATGGACTTCGAGGAAGCCTTAAGTTGGGGACCTTGAAGCACGATGATCTATGCATAGCTCAAAGGCATAAAAGAAAGAGCGCTTCAGGGAGGAAACACATGTCTGGCATCCAATTTAAGGTTGTAAAATAAAAGTGCTACCGAGGAGACAGCCCAGATTTTCTGTCTTTTTTAATTTATTTCAATTTCATGTTAAGGAGGAGAAACTCTTGCTTCCCCTCTATTTTGTTACTTTGATAGTTTCTTTTGTTTTTGTTATCCATAGGAAAATAAAGGGAGAAATGGAGCAAGGAGATCCAATGGTGCTAAAATTGACAAATCCATCATAAACAATGAAAGCCAACTCAGAAATGGAGAAGGAAAATGAGCAGCCATCCTACCCTTCGTTGACTCGTTGCTAAAAAGAATGAAAATAGAAGAAATACAAACTGATATTGAAGCAAATCAAGATAGAGCGAGTCTAGAGCAGGGTGGGCGAGGAGAAACAAGTTCAAATTGTAATACCTATATATATATGGTGCCTTCTACGGTACCCCGAGTGAAATCCGGGGTACCGCATACCTTGAGTATGAAAACGCTATCTAGACATCAAATTAGCATAATTTTTTGGCATGATATTATACCCTAACCCTTAATGAGTGAATCCTAGGTCCTAATTATCTAAATCATTAACTATAAACCCTAAGATGGTGCATTGATTTATTTGCCTATATTTGGATGAATCATAACCGTCAATTATTGTTTCTAATTAAATTGATCTTGGGGTATAAGATTTAGAAAATTAAGACCTAGATTTTGATCTTTAAGTGTTAGAGTATAGTATCATGTCCGAAAGATCAGTCAATTCAAGTTATGGATAGCGTTTTCTAACTCAAGGTATGCGGTACCCCGGATTTCCCCCTGGGTATCGTAGAATTCTCCATATACATATGGTGCCTTCTACGGTACCCCGGGTGAAATCCGGGGTACCGCATACCTTGATTATGAAAACGCTATCAAGACATCAAATTAACAGGATTTTTTGGCATGATACTATACCCTAACGGTTAATGACTAAACCCTAGGTCCTAATTATCTAAATCATAAACTATAAACCCTAAGATGTGCATTTATTTTTTTCCCTATATTTGGACGAATCATAACCGTCGATTATTGTTTCCAATTAAATTGATCTTGGGGTATAAGATTTAGAAAATTAACACCTATATTTTGATCTTTAAGGGTTAGATTATAGTATCATGTCCAAAAGATCAGTCAATTCAAAGTTCTGGATAGCGTTTTCTTACTCAAGGTATGCGGTACCCCAGATTTCACCCTGGGTACCGTAGAACTCCCCATATATATATAGTGGCTACTTCGGCGCACTCACTTTTTTGGGTGCACTCAGTGCACCCACTCTAAAAGTGTCCATATTACATCAAATTTTGAACTTTAATTAGTACTCTCAATCTAATATGATGATATGACATAGAATCATAACAAATCAATCAATTACCCTAACCCCTTAACCTTCAATTTTGAATCTCAATCCAAAATCCCAAATTGTAAACCTAAACCCTAACCCTAAATCCCTAAATCCTAAATCCTTCAAATTAAAGTAAATTTTGAATGAATTTTTTTCAAATTCATGTGCTTCTTGTTCATAATATCATAAGCAACAATTGATATCGTTTTGACATGAATCGCATGGTTAGAATGGCAATTATGAGGCGGGTGCACTGAGTGCACCCAAAAAAGTGGGTGCACTGAATACGCCACCATATATATATATATATATATATATATATATATATATATATATATATATATATATATATATATATATATGGTGCCTTCTACGGTACCCCGGGTGAAATCCGGGGTACCGCATACCTTGAGTATGAAAACGCTATCCATACCTCGAATTAGTAGGATGTTTGGGCATGATACTATACCCTAACCCTTAATGAGTGAACCCTACGTCCTAATTATCTAAATAATAAACTATAAACCCTAAGATGGTTTATTCATTTTTTGCCTATATTTGGACGAATCACAACCGTCGATTATTGTTTCTAATTAAATTGATCTTGGGGTATAAGATTTAGAGAATTAAGACCTAGATTTTAATCTGTAAGGGTTAGAGTATAGT